TGGGAATTTGGGGATGTGGGAATTTGGGCATGTAGGAATTTGGGGATTTGGGAATTCGGGAATTTGAGAATTTAAAATTTGGGAATTTCGAAAATAGAAATTTGTTACATCCGAAATTCAGGTATTAGAAAAATCTAGAGATCCAGAAATCTAGAAATCCCTATACAATCGCCTTTAGCAATATACCAAAAGTGTACCACACTAATAACACAAGAACCCAATCTACTAAACTTGCAATACAATAACAATAATTTACCATCCTACTACATCTCACCACATATAATTTCAAAAAATCGAATTATAAAATGTAAATATCTGCATATACAAATAATAAAAATCTATGTCTTATTCTTATCCCTTACCTCTACCCTATTATATCAGACACTCGATTCGTTACCAATTAACTAGCCACGGAAAGTTAAATTGACGAGAATGTAATTGTAAATTACAGGAGCACTCAGAAGAAGTTCTTTGGATCCTGGTGCAAGGAGATTCTCTTTGGGTACACCTGCGATCCCACATAGAGCTTCAGACGCTTGCTTAGACCCCGTGCACGCTGCCATCCTCTTCAGGGATTCCAGAGGGGTGAGTATTAATTTTAAACTTTAATCAAAGAACTTTCACCCGACATCCCGGTTCTCCCATTGCGGTGCATTGTTAATTATCGTGTGTGTCTGGAGAAATTTACGACCAACGATTTTTAAGAAAACTTTCTGCAATTTCTTTCTTTTTTTATGGGGACATCTATCATTTAGTATATTAAAAAATTAAGATAAATGTAGTTATCGTTTATTGTCATATGTGTCTGAAGAGATTCACGAGGAAAGATTTTTAGAAATTCTTTATTAGATTTCTTTTCTTGTGAGAATTTAATAGTGCATCTATTATTTATTGCATTTTCAAATTTGAATTAGTATGATCTTCATATTTATTTCTTTTTTATGAGAACGTAGAATTTATTGCATTATTAAATTTAAGTCTATATAAAAAATATAATTATTTGAGCATGTAAATTATTTCATATAGAGCATATGTGTAAAATTATTTTGATTGCTCAGATTGTTGAACATGTGACACATATGTACAATTATTTGGACCACACAAATTATATGTATGGTACGGGCATGTATCATGCATGATACATATGTACAATCATCTTGATCACATATGTTCAATATATGACACGTACAAAATTTTTTCCATATAAATTATTCAATATGCGACATATATACAATTATTTTGACCACACAAATTGTATGTACGATAGAGGTATGTATCAGGTATGATACACATGTGCACATATCTTGATCACATATGTTCAACATAAGACACGTACAAAATTTTGTCCCTATAAATTACTCAATTTACGACACGTGTACAATTATTTTGACCATGGAAATTATTAAGTACATTACACGTATGTACAAACATTTTGGCCATGTAAATTATTCAATATATGACACATATGGACAATGATTTTGACCATGCAAATTACTCAGCAAGTCACATATGTCCAAATATTTTAACCACGTAAATTTTTCATCATATCATACGTCAAATTATTTTGACCCCGCAAATAATTTTGATATACGACTTGTAAAAAAATTTTTACCATCCAAACTTTTCAATGCACGAACGACATACAGATTTCAAAGTATGTTGACCTGTTCTTGATTCTGTCAACCATCGACGATCATTTATGTTTTTATACTTTCAAGTAATCCTCCATTTTAATGATTAATTAGCGTAAACACAAGAGTCCAATATTCATGAAAATATCTGGCTCGCTTTTTTTCTCGTATCCACTTGGATTTTACTGAGCAAACGAAGATGCTCCTTTTTGCAATTATCGCACATTCCAATGCAAGATAATAGGAACTTCTCTTCGTGTTTGCAAACATTTTAGATACACTTATTATCTGCATCTCGTTATGTCTACACGTATTTACTTGTATGCAAATGAAAAACACTGATCGATTAATTTGGGCGGGTCATTCGGAAAGTTTTTTTCAAGGAAAATCTTATTTTCTTATTTTGGATTTGAGAATTTAGAAATTTGGGAATTTTTGGAATTTAGGGATTTTGGCAATTTGGGAATTTTTGGAATTTGGGTAGTTTTGGAATTTGGGGAGTTTTGGAATTTGGGGAGTTTTGGAATTTGGGGATTTTTGGAATTTGGGATTTTTGAAATTTGGGAATTTAGCGATTTTGGCAATTTGGGGAGTTTTAGAATTTTGGAGATTTTTGGAATTTAGGAAGTTTTGGAATTTTTGAGATTTTTGGAATTCGAGATTTTTGAAATTTAGGGATTTTTGGAATTTAGGGAGTTTTAAAGTTTGGAGAGTTTTAAAATTTGGAGAGTTTTGGAATTTGGGAATTTTTGGAATTCGGGATTTTTGGAATTTAGGGAGTTTTGAAATTTGGAGAGTTTTGGAATTTGGAGAGTTTTGGAATTTGGAGAGTTTTGGAATTTGGAAATTTTTGGAATTCGGGATTTTTGGAATTTGGAGAGTTTTGGAATTTAGGGAGTTTTGGAATTTGGGAATTTTTGGAATTCGGGATTTTTGGAATTTAGGGAGTTTTAAAGTTTGGAGAGTTTTAAAATTTGGAGAGTTTTGGAATTTGGGAATTTTTGGAATTCGGGATTTTTGGAATTTAGGGATTTTTTGGAATTTGGAGAGTTTTGGAATTTAGGGAGTTTTGGAATTTGGGGATTTTTGGAATTTAGGGATTTTTGGAATTAGGGATTTTTGAAATTTAGAGATTTTTGGAATTTGGAGATTTTAGAATTTCCAAATTTTTGGAATTTATGGAATTGTTGAATTTTCATACTTTTGGAATTTAGTGAATTTTTGGTATTTGGAAAATCTTGGAATTTTTGGAATTTGGAAACTTGAAATTTAAAAATTCGATTGTATAAAAGAGAAACCAGCAATGTTACATCCAAGTGCACACTGTCTTACATACCAAACTTCTCCAACATAAATATCAAGTAAAGCTAGGAATTTCCTCATTACATGCAAACAATAAATTACTATTATTTAAAATTTGTTCTATCACATAAAACTTTCAAGCAACAATTATCACTTCCCACCAGTTATCCCCATTAATCCTAAACTCTATATACCCACATCACCAAACTCGTGAAAATGTTTGAAAACTACCTACCGATTCCCTAAACGCAAACAATAACTTGCAAGACATCCTGTACAACCCAATCGTCTTTGCTTTTGCAACCTGTTTACCTTTGCTACGTTGGGTTCTCTCCTCATCGCAACGATTTATCGCATGTGTACAGTTCGTAAATATCGATTCAGCGAACAGCAAGAGGAACAATCTGGGTCATGATGAAAGCTCGAAACGTTAAGGAAAAGAGGGGACATATTCGGTCGAACCGCTTAGAAAAGGAGAGCAGAGGGTGTCTTTTACGATTCATTCCATCATGCCGCAAAAAATGGGTCGAGGTTACTTTTTCTCCTCTTTTCTATGCACCTTGTTATGTACTGTCACGGAAAATTCATAGATGAAGTGGATTGTGTTGATTATGTGTTCGTTAATTGGTTTTTCTCGCTAATTAACAGTATCAAGCTTGCGACTGTCGATAAGAAGATTGTAGTCGATAAGGAGGTTTCATGTGGTCGGTAAAGTAGGAAATTATTTTTCGGCGAGAGATACATGAAATACGGTAGGTTATCGTCGGTAAAACGTAGGTTATCTGCATTATCGACGATGCATTTAAGTTTGGGTAATGTAGGATTCTTTGTTATCTGTCGTTTTGTGTTTGCTGCAAATGATTTAGGAGATTGCGTTGTTTGCTGTAAATGGTACAACACCTATCGTTTGGTCTGTGAAAAGCAGTTGAATTTGGAAGTTTGGAATTTTATGAATTTATGAATTTTACTGAATTGTGAAATTTTGGTTCGCTGATTTAATATTTTGGAGATTTTAGGATTTGAAAATTTGGAAATTTGAGAACTTGGAGATTTGAGAACTTGGAGATTTGAGAAGTTGGAAATTTGAGAAAATGGAAATTTGAGTTTGGAAATTTGAAAAATTGGACATTTTAGAATTTGGAAATTTGAGAATTTGGAGATTTGAGAAGTTGGAAATTTGAGAAATTGGAAACTTGAGAAAGTGGAAATTTGAGAAATTGGACATTTTAGAATTTGGAAATTTGAGACATTGGAAATTTGAGAATTTGGAGATTTGAAAAGTTGGAAATTTGAGAAATTGGAACCTTGAGAAAGTGGAAATTTGAGAAACTGGAAATTTGAGAAATTGGAAATTTGAGAATTTGCAAACTTGAGAAATTGGAAATTTGAGAAACTGGAAATTTGAGAAATTGGAAATTTGAGAATTTGCAAACTTGAGAAATTGGAAATTTGAGAATTTGGAAACTTGAGAAATTGGAAATTTGAGAATTTGGAGCTTTGAAAGTCTTAGAAATTGTTCACGTTAGAAATCTAAAAATAGAAAAAATGGAGACATTTTGTATTTTGTAATTCAAAAACTTGAGTATTTGAAAATAGAAAATTTGGAATTTGTGGTAACCAAAATATTTTAAATTTGAGTCTCTCTTGAGTTTTACTGTTTTTAAAATATTATAATAATGCATTGCAACATAACGTTACATAAGCACAATGCCTGATAACTCTGTGGTAATATGCAGAATAATTAATAGCACCTTCTTCCTTTCTCTCACCACTTTTCTTAAAGAATTCTGCCATGTTATAATTTATGAGAAACTCAATTTCAAAATCATATTCTGAAATTTCTAAATTTCCAAATTCTCAAATCTCCAAATTCCCATATTACAATCTTTAAATTAATATTTTAACCGCATATCTTCATTTTTGGTATAAATTCATTACATGCTAATAAATTCATTATATGTTAATAAAATCACTACACATAAATAACTTCATTTTATTAGTCACACATTTTTAAATTTATAATCCATTAACATACAAAGGCTGATTAAAACCTAAAGAAGTATTCGAGATAGTTTCGTTACGAGTAATTAGAGCAATTATACGCAGTTATATAATAGAAATGTGTATTTTTTTAAGTGTCGAGTTTACGATTGCCTGTATTTCGAACAGCACGTGTGTGCATTTACGTCATTCCACGTGTGTTTCTCGAATGGGGTCTGATAATGACAGTAGCATTATTCATTTACATTTTCCTCAAACTGATAAACAATATTGGGAAAGTTACGATCAAGCATTTTCTGATAAACTGCATATTCATGATAAAGATTTTGTTATGTGAATATGTTATACTTGTATGTTGTAATCGTATACTTTGATCATATGTTATGATTACATATTATGATCATGTGTTACAATTGAATGTTATGATCATATGTTATAATCATATGTTATGATCATATGTAGTAATCATATGCTTTGATCATATGTTATGATTACATATTTTGATCATGTGTTACAACTGAATGTTATGATCATATGTTATGGTTATATGTTGTGAACATATGTTATGATTACATGTTATGATTACATGTTATGATCATATGTTATAATCATATGTTATGATCATATGTAGTAATCATATGTTATGATCAT